GTTTATTCCAGTGCTTCTTTTTATCTAGCTTTGCCTTTAATTTCAATTGCAGTCGGCCTCAACACCTCTTTGGCTCTCTCTCTAGGTTATTCAGTATTCCATGTTTGGGCACTGTGCTGGGACAGCAGTAGACTCAGTTCCTGGGGGAGAGGGACCACCGGTCACTGCCTTCCTCCACAGGGCCTGACTGCTCCAGGTCCCAGGAGGTCTGGCTTTAACAGCTGAGCAATGAATGCATGGCTTAAAGTACTATCCTGGCTTATTGTTTATGCTGTAACAAAATACATTCTGCTCCGCTCCAGTGAGGGCCTCATGACAAAACACTTAACATGCACAGGATTAGATCAATTTTGCATATTTATATCTGGTAATCTGAGTAACTCTTTTTTTTTTTTTTTTTGTCTTTTTCCTTTTTTATCGGTACCGGGGATCGAACCCACAACTGCCTGCTTGCAAGGCAGGCACTTATGCTGCTGAGCTAAATCCCCAGCCCCCACTGCTCCTAGTTTTGAGTTGATGTTTAATCTTATATACCCCTGTACCTAAGCCTACCTTTGATTTCAGCCTCTTACCCCCATTAATTTTAGTTCTTCCCCCCATGGAGTTTTCCAGACTACATGAGTTCCACCAGCTACTTTATAGAGGCACATTCACACTCCAAGAAGGAGTGGCACCAACTCTACTTCTGCAAATACAAGAAAGAAAGAAAATCGACCTCCAAAAACACTAGGTTTTATGTACCAAAAGGCTTTCAAATGTTTGTTCCTCCAACCCAGCAATTACATTTCTGAGAATCTGCCTACAATAAGCTGAATGCAAAGTAATATGCATGTAAGAACACAATCTCCTTATCTCAGAAAAAATAGAAAAAAAACCCCAAATACATAAGTAGTTGAGGGAGTAAAGCATTAGAGAATTCTGGGATAGAATATTAACATGGTCAGCAAAAAGATATTATGTGTGTATGGCAATCTGAGAAACATTTCTAATGATGGTATTTTATCACATTTAAAACACCACAGATTAAAAGACAGGACATTATTTGAGATTCTGTGAAAGAAAGAAAATAGTAGCCAGGATGGACAGTCTAACAAGAGACCTGTGAGTAGAGCTGGGACCACTGCGGACTATTTCTTTGGCATGAGAAGAACGATGAAGCCCCGGGTGGAAATCCCCAGGTCTCAGCCGTGACACAAGTATACGGAGACAACACAAATGTCCTAGAGTGTGAATGAACCAGTGCTCACACAGCCCTGAGCCTGCACCTGCACGAAGATGTGTGAAAACACCTCTAGCAAAATGTGCAACTGAGTTAGAGTTAAATATTAAGTTGTTTCAAGGTGGTAGAGCCCCTAAGTGACACAGCAAACATAATCCCCTCCGGAAGAACGCAATTTCAACACAAGCCAACAATGCCTAAGAAGTCCTTCAAGTACGTTAATTAGCACAAGATCCAGAGCTATTAAAATAGAAAAATAAGTTAATCTTAGAATTGATGTTAAGGAAACATACAGAGTCAAATGGTATGTAGGTAACTATATCCCTTTACAGACATCCTAGAAGGAAAAACAGTACAATACCCACAATAATTTTCTTAGATGGTAAGATCAGATTTTCTTCCCTTTCTTTAAATGACTGCATTTTCTAGATTTTTCTTAAGTGAGCCTAGATTTAGTAGGCATATAAGTAATAGGAGAAATAAAACAGTAATATAAGTACAGAGGAGGTCAACTTTAGGTGGGGTGGTCAGAAAGGACACCATAAAAGAGGTGACAGCACTGACAAGGAACCAGTGCATAAGCCATGGGAAAAGTCTGCTGTATATCAGAGTCTAGAACAGTGCCTGGTCACAAAGAAGACACCTGACTCACAGTTATTAAATTAACACACGAGTCTTCTATACAAGCTGAAAGAGTTAAAGACATTACATTACAGTGATGCATGTTTATAGCAGCACAATTCATAACAGCTAAATCTTGGAAGCAGTTTATATGTCCATCAACAAATGAATAAAGAAAATGTATTTATGCACAATGGAATACCACTCTGCCATAAAGCTAAACTTGAGTTGTGTTTAGGAAAATGGATGTATCTTGAGACCATGCTGGGAAGTGAAAAAAGTTTACCAGATTAAATATCCTATAGTATCTCTTACATGATAAACCCAAAGAATAAGAGCAAAATAAAAGATAATAGGAAGGCTGGGCGTGGTGGTGCACTCCTGTAATCCCAACACTCAGGAGGCTGAGGTAGGAGGATCACTGAAAATTGAGACTGGCCTGGGATACAAAGTGAGCCCAAGGCCAGCCTGAACAACACAAGGAAAGAAAGCACTATATATGGAAAACATACAAGAAAGGGGAATGGATCAAGAGATGGAGGTGTGAAAAAAAGGAATTTAGATGTGTTGGGTATATGTACCAATCCCCACAAGGAATGGAAACATTATGTACTATAAACATGTACTAATAAAAAGTAAAAAAAAAAAGATGAAAACTGATGTCTGGCCATTACAGGAAAGCATTACACTGCATAGGAAATAAACCATAAATATGCCATCAATGTATGAGCAAAGGAATGAACACAACCAGGAAAAGCTTAAGTCTCAAGGGTCCCCCACCACAGCGTGGCTTCTCAGGGGCAGCATTCCTATGGGACAGGGCTGGGGTGCAGTCTGGACCAACAGAGGTCTACACAGAAAGCCAGGAGCAGCAGGGAGAGCAGGGCACCTTGGTCAATGGTTCCCCTATATTTTGTCATCTCAGTCTCTCAACGTGAGTTCTTGGTGATAGTGCTTTGAAACGCTGACCCAGTGCAACCAGGGAGGACTGTGTTTCAGAAGGCCCTTGTACAACTGGGACAGGGTCTCCCTGCAAATGTGATAGCTATTTGTGAGCTGTGCTCTGTTGCTCAGCCCAGGGACAGGACAGATGCCACATGAGTTCCAACCCTCCTGCTCACGTGCTCATCCCTGGGTATACCTCACATGCCTGGCCCATGCTAGAAGCTGCAGATAAGAGATGAGATGAGTCACAGGAGCCCAGGGAGCCCAGAGAGCCAGGTGAGCAAACAGGATGGCAGTACTCTGTGGTGTGACTCCAAGACAAGGGTTCAGGTCCTTGAGAGACCCAACCATCTAATCTGCCTGAGATGAAATCTCTCAATGGAAACAATCGGCTCCTAGGGCCAGGAATCCTACTAGACAGGGCTTTCATACATTGTTTTGTTTTGCTCTTACAGATTATCTGCATCTCATAGATGGGGGCCACAGACGATTACTCGCCAAGGTCACAGCGCTGGGATTCCCACAACAGTCTGAGACCTCCATAGTAGCGGGGAGGCTGTATGCAAGGCAGGAGGAGGCTGCTGCAGGTGGAGGCCAGAGCATGCTGCACTCAACGATAGGGTCTGATGGGTGCTGTTACTGATGGTGGGTCCTGAGGCTGACAAGAGGGGCCAGATGGCCTGTGGCTTCGAGAAACAGCTGATGGGGGCACATGCATATGTAGCCTGACCTGTCTGTTTTATCTGTATATCCTTTTTTCAAGGAAGCAGTACGTAAAAGGCCAATATGCAGAACAGATGAAAACAATTTTGGCTGAGGAAGAGGGTGGAGGTAGTGGAAAACAGGTTGGAGCTCCACCCAGCTGATCTTCCCAGTGACTTACAGAAACTGGGGACCTATACACCTACATTCAGGGGCTGAACCTGCACACTGGCGACACTCACTCACTCAGCTAGAAGTCCTTCTCTCAGGGCCTCCCAATTGCCTCTGGCTGAGAGCAGCGCAGGTGAGATGTGGGAGAACTTTGGGGGCAGAGGTCAGGCTTGGGAGCCTGAATATAAGTCCCAAATCCTGGGCGCTGATGTCCACCAAGGCCGGAGAAAGTGGGCTCCTCGGTCCTGGCAGAGACCTCCATTTCCCTCTGAGTGGGCTGGGAACAGAGGCTATGGGGTGCAGAAGCACATCTTCTCTCCAGAAGTCCTTCCTTGTTACACCACAGAGGCCTCGCAACCTTGCTAGCCTCCTCTTCCCACCTCAAAGCCCAGGACTGTCAGTCATACCCACTTCCAGAACTCAAAAGCGAGGTAGGACAAGCCACCTGACTCTGAACAGGGGACAGTGGAGGTGAGAGAGGAATCCTTTGGTGTCTGCTCAACTCGTAAGAGCAGAAAAGAAAGGTGTGCTCCAGATCACAGACCTGCTATAGCTCTGCTGGCCCTCGGTGACCAAAAACAAGCCTAGAAAGAAAAACGTGGATTTCTTTCCTTTTCTCAGCTGCGGGCTGGCAGGGCCTAGACTAGAACTTAATGTTACTGACCTGTGGTTCGACGTTTTCCCCAATACTGCTCTTCGGGAATCAGATCCATATTCAGCCAAATACGTTCAAAATGAGAAAGGACTTGAGGTTGGGAGCCTAAGTCCCAATTCCTGGGCTAACCTACTGGGGTGACCTGGAGCAGGAAGCCCCCTCTCCAGGTCATTTCCTCACTCGCTCAGCCAAGACGTCGCTTCGGACCCTCTGGAGGTTTACTACCCTTCCAGCACCTGCCCTCCCCTTCCAGCAGAGCAGACAGGCAGGTCACCGCTGCCGCCTAGGCACTGGGCACAGCTATATGCAGGCAGCCTGAGAACCGTGCTACTCTAGCCAGGCGGAGCTGTGTCTGGGATCCACGCTCTGACTGCATGTCCAGCCTCTCGCCCCAGCGCGCACAAGCGCACTCTTCCGCACTGATGCGCGCAACCCACGCAGCTCTAGCACACGTACACATGTGTCCTAGGCAGTCGCATGGAGAGGCCACTCACCCCTGGCTCACAGACTCCCACGCGCGACGGCCACCCGCCTCTGCTCTTGCACACCCAAGTTCTCGCACTGGTGCACACACAGATCCCCACCCTGCCAGCACAGACACCCGCTGAGCCGCGGAGGGCAGGGCCAGCGCGCGAGACACGCCCACTGAGCCCCCGCCCCGCCCCGCCCCGAGAGGATGTGAGCTCAGTCCCGCCCCCGGGTTCCGGCGGTTGCCAGGAAGCGGCTGCCAGAGGTCGCGGCCCGCTCGCAACCTTGAGGCCAGCCGAGAGTCAGCAGCACCCCAGCCCCTCGCCGGCGCGGCACGGAGCAGGCGCCTGCCGAACGGGCACGGAATGAAGGCGGGCGGCGCGGGCGCCCTGCGCGGGGGCCGCGGGGCTCAGGCAGCGCTCCCCTCCTAGACGCCCGGTCCCGGCGCGCTTCCGGCCGGCCACGTGACCACCCGCGCACGTGTTCCGGCCGCCGGCCCCGCCCTCGGCCCCAGCGGCTGCAGCGGCTGGTGGGCAACTAGGCGCCCAGCTGCTTGAGCGGCGGGGCGGCACCCTACGCCATGAACCCCAGGGGGTTGTTCCAGGACTTCAACCCCAGTAAGTTCCTCATCTACGCCTGCCTTCTGCTTTTCTCCGTGTTGCTGCCTCTGCGCTTGGACGGCGTCATCCAGTGGAGCTACTGGGCCGTGTTTGCCCCCATATGGCTATGGAAGCTCCTGGTCGTCGCGGGGGCCTCGGTGGGTGCGGGCGTTTGGGCTCGCAACCCTCGCTACCGCACCGAGGGGGAGGCCGGCGTGGAGTTCAAAGCCATGCTGATCGCCGTGGGCATCCACTTGCTGCTGCTCATGTTCGAAGTACTGGTCTGTGACCGGGTGGAGAGGGGCACCCATTTCTGGCTGCTGGTCTTCATGCCTCTCTTCTTCGTCTCCCCCGTGTCTGTGGCCGCTTGTGTCTGGGGCTTTCGACACGACAGGTCGCTGGAGCTGGAGATCCTGTGCTCCGTCAATATCCTGCAGTTCATCTTCATTGCCTTGAGGCTGGACAGGATTATCCACTGGCCCTGGCTGGTGGTGTTCGTGCCGCTGTGGATCCTCATGTCCTTCCTTTGTCTGGTTGTCCTCTATTACATCGTCTGGTCCCTCCTGTTTCTGAGGTCCCTGGACGTGGTCGCAGAGCAGCGAAGAACCCACGTGACCATGGCCATCAGCTGGATAACGATTGTTGTGCCTCTGCTCACTTTTGAGGTCCTGCTGGTTCACAGATTGGATGGCCACAATACCTTCTCTTACATCTCCATATTTGTCCCCCTTTGGCTGTCACTAGTAACTTTGATGGCCACAACTTTTAGGCGAAAAGGAGGCAATCATTGGTGGTTTGGCATTCGCAGAGATTTCTGTCAGTTTCTGCTCGAAATTTTTCCATTTTTAAGAGAATATGGGAACATTTCCTATGATCTCCAACATGAAGATAGTGAAGACCCTGAAGAAACTGCCGGTCCAGAAGCTCCAAAAATCCCCCCAATGTTTGGAAAGAAGGCCAGGGTAGTTGTAACACAGAGCCCTGGAAAATACGTTCCCCCACCTCCTAAGTTAAATATTGATATGCCAGACTAGACTGCCTTCTTCACTGGCCCTGTGGTGAGACAGAAACAGCATATGCATAGCTCCTCCACCTTACTTTTTCCACTGTTTATCCCAAACCTGGACACAAACAAGCTCCAGGCACCATTTCACGCTTTGAGATCGATGTAAATGAGTGGCTTCTCACTGTGCACTGTAGCCAGCAGAGGTTATTTTGGTCTGTGGTTTTGTATGTGTGTGTGAGATGTATATATCTATGAGAGAACCGCTGTTTGCTTTCCAAATAGGTGTTTAAAAAGCCAAGTGCAGTAAGTGGAATCGAGTAACCACACAGCTGCTGTTTTTTTTTTTTTTGAAGTCTACTTATTATAAATATTGTTTGAAAATATTTTTATACACTGCTAGTCTAAAATTGTATTTGAGATTGTTACTGTTGTGACATAATAGCAAGTGTACAGAATTCTTTCCCACTACTGGTTTATAAGCCTCATTACTGTTAAAATAGTTTTTCTTTGGGCATTGTCTTTAATATTCTAATAGATGAATTTTTCTAATGGTGCGGATCTGCATGTATATTTCTATGAATATTTTAGCAGTGAAAAATGTTGAATTCCAGTCCTCTACAGTTCAAAATATTATGTTGAAGGCTTTTTGTTTGTTTTTTACGGTTCTATGTGAAGATAATGTTTATTGCAGGTGTCCTCAGAGCCCATAAAATGTTAATATGTACCTGTTACAGTGTAATCTAAGTACTCGGCACAAATTAGGGATTGGAAATCTCACGATCAGAATACTTCAATGTTTGGTGACAGGGATCTGCACAACTCCACAGTCTCTCTCAGGAGCTGTTAGTAGAGAGAGGGAGGTGATGTGCTCTAGTATGGAACCAGGTCATAACATGACTGTTATTATTTACCATTGTTTTCTCCAGAGGCAATAATGTCTCCTGAGGAACAACTAAATAAGCAACAAGTGGTTTGTGTATTTCTAAGGATCTTAGAATATTCATTTGTTGGAAAGTAAAACATTACTTATGGAAAACTGGGCAGACTGACATTAACCAAAAGTAGCCAACAAGATGTCTTATTTTAAGGTCCAAACATTTGGGACTGTTGGCAAAATGGAAGCAATAGTTTGGGTTACCTGTTTAGGTAAATAACGATGTGTCTTTAGGTGCTGGTGGGATAGGTACCAGGAAATGAGAAGGGCAAAAGCCAGACTCTTCAAGAATAATGTTCTGACTTGAGCAAATAAAAACTGTCAGAAGGTTAGAGTGTAAAGGAGTACTGATGTTTCTGAAGAAGACTGTTGAGAATCCACTGGTTGTCAACTTATTAAAAACTACCTTAAGTGGGTTCCATGCAGTAAGTACACGACTACATCCTTTGCCCTGGCCATGAGACAGACCTGTTCGATTTGACAAACCCTAATTCACTATTTTTGCTTCATTTAAAACATCCTAAGGGCCGGACATATAGCTCAGCGGCACAAGTGCCTCCTTGGCAAGTGTAAGGTTGTGAGTTTAATCCTTGATACCAGAAAAATAAAACATCCTTAAGCAACATACATGCTGGTGACAGAAGTATACATGTAGCAGTGACAAAAGCCAGTCTCAGGGACCTGAGTGCCTGCATGCCTGAGGGTGCTGCAGCTCAGAGGAGTTGGCTGGGGCTGAAGAGAGTGCTCCCCTCCATCCTCATACACAGACACTGGATTTGCACAAGCTGACAGAAGGTGGGAAGCAGCCCTGAGCAGCAGTGTACCATTTCATAAGCAGGATTCACTCACTTATTCACCTTCTCAGTACATTTATTGAGGACCCACTCTGAGCTGGCCCATTACTAGGCATTGTGGGTGCAGTTGTAGTGGCTCATACCTGTCCATGGGGTACCCAGTGGGATGTGAGCACATCTCTTCAGAGTGAAAAGGAGGTGCTCACAGCAGCCTGTCTGTGGAAGAAACAAGCTGAGACACATCTGCAGAAAAGGGTTAGCTGGCCTCAAGGTGACCTTCACCCAGAACTTGGAGCCCAATTTTGTTTACAGTCCAGTACCTTCACCTTTTTCTGTGCTCCCAAAGTGTTGAAAACATCAAGAAGATTTAGGGGTGAAGAAACAGATGTTGCTGAGGAAATGCAAAGGAGATTTGGGGTAACAGGCATCACCAGCCCCTGTGGCTGTAGTGTTGGTGGGGGCATGTTGGTACCCCTTGTGAGCCCCTCCTACCCTGGTATCTGGTGTCGGTGGAGATTAGAAGTGTGCTAACAATCTTCCTGCCCACACAGGCTGCCCCAGGAGGCCTGTCTCTTGCATCAAAACTCAGGTAAAAACAATATGAGTGACAGTTGTGAAACAGTTGTTTGATCTATGAAGTTGACACAAGCCCAGCTGTGCCTGAAGATTTAGTTGCCAGTCAGTAGTTACTCCTCAGTGTTTAACATTCATCAGTTCTGTCACTGGATTTTCCTGCAGTGATATAACCATCAGTGTTTGCTGCTTACCAACCTCAGAAATGTCACTGGCCTACAAATACAAATTCTGTCTACAGGTTGACTGTGAAGGTCACACCCAGGCTGGGGTCTGATTCGGGTGGGTGCCAAAACACGACTATTCTGGGCATGTGACTTGAAGGACCACCATTCCCTGGACCACGTTTCTGTAATGGCAGAAATGCAAGGAGGCCAAGTCAAAGCCTGTAGGCAGAGTCCCTGCCTACCTGTCCAATCTACCGATGTACAATCTGCTTACACTGGAGGCTAAGCCCGTGACCTGTAGGTGAGGTAGCACATGCCGTAGAAACATGATTTGCACTGGCAGTGGCTGGCCCATGAATAGAAAATGTAAGATCATTATAAAGGAAGCTCAAAGTTTGTGGCAGGCCACAGCTCATTTCCTTCCCTTGTTGTATAAACATTCTAATTTTTAGAAGTTGTTGCTGTCAGAATGCAACTCTTGGTGTCTGAGACAAGATGGGAAATCCTTGATTTAGAGCCCTCGGTAGTGCAGCCCCAGCAGTTTTCCTGTACAGCAACGTTAGGAACATGCTGTGTCCTCAGGCTTTGTTCAGCCATGTGCCAGGTCCTTGGAGGGTCAAGGCCAAGCACAGAAACCACCCAGGTAGAGACAAAATGAAGCAGCAGAGCAAAGACAGGCCCGAGTGGGCCAGCCCTCTGCAGGCTCTCCTAGAACAGGAAGCCAGGGGACCACAAGTAGCTGACAGGTGGCAGGGAGGCTGGGGTAGGCTCAGACAAATGAACTGGGATCTGCTGGCAGGAACATGGCCACCTGGTGCCACTGCCATTCATCTCATGACACCAGGTGATGTTCCTGTTGCCACAAGTAATTCCTTAGCCATTGGCTATTAGTTCAGGATTGAAGTCCCAGGAAGATGAGACTGATCAGCTGAACCTTGGGTTTTTGCAGTCTGCAGCTTCAGAACTTGAGGCCATCTGGCTCCGAGACTGCACAACTTCCTCTGTAGGGCATCCAAAAAGGAAGGTGTTCAGAAGCTGGGTAATTAAAGAACAGAAGTACCCTGCCTCCTGCTTCTCGGCTGTGTGGCATGTGTGCTTTTACCCAAGATTTACACTTCACAAGTGAGGTTTCCCTCTAATATGCTGTAACTGCCTCACAGCAAGGCAGTGCCCTCGTCCCTTCCCTAAGAGCAAGAGAGGCAAGTGAGGTTGCTTCATCAGTTCTTCCTCTGACTCCTCATCTATGATGTCTGGGTGTCTTCTCCTCTACCTTTGTCACAATCTGTGGATTGAAGGCAGCTGCCACAACGTCCCCTCCAAAGGGAAGCCTGAGAACCCTGGATCTGTTATGTTCTTTCTCACCTGGGGGAGGTGAATGTTCTTCAAGAAGCCAGATTGCAGCAGCGTAAATGAAGAAGCAGACACTAGAACACAGCTGCCTCCTGTGAGGTTAGACACTGAAGCTTTGCAAAATGCAAAATCAGTGCCACCCTTACTAACTTTGGCTTTGGAAAAAACACTGATCTCTGTTTTTCATTGCTGGGGATTGTATCCAGGAGCTTCATTCTGAACTATATCCCAGCCTTATTCATTCATTCCTTTCTTAGTCCATTCACTCAGGGTCCATTGACAGGGTCCTACTAAGTTGCCTTGGGTGGTCTTGAACTTTCAGTCCTGCTATAGTTTCCTAAGTAGCTGGGATTATAGGTGTATATCACCACATGCAGCAGTTCTCATTTTTAAAAAGTTAATACATAAAAAAAGTTAATACATAATGACTTTATTGTTTTATTGGGTTTTTGTTTGTATTTTGGTACCGGGGATTGAAATGACCTTTCGCTTGCTAGGTAGGCACTTATGCTACTGAGCTAAATTCCTGGCCCAACTGTATTTTTGTTTTGTTTTGTTTTTCCCTGTACTGGGGATTGAACTCACAACCATGTGCTTGCAAGACAGGCGCTTATGCAGCTGAGCTAAATCCCAGCCCCCCAACTGTATTGTCTTAAAATAATTAAATACTTTTAAAATTTATCAGCTTTAATTTCCATCATGGTAAACTGCTATAATTCATAAACAAAAGCTTGGGGGTCCTTGATCAGATTCTAAGAGTGTAAATGGGTCCTTGTAACCCAGATTTGAGAACTACTGCCATAAATTATAGTGGATGGGAGAAAATAGAAAGTAGGTGAAATTGAGTATGACGCAGAAGGGAAGAGAACAGAGGGCCACTGTCCTTATTTCTGCAACAGGCCACAAGAGGGTGTCTCTACTGGTTCCATCTTCTGTCTTCCACCAACACCTGGCTGGCTGGGCTGCCTTTGTTCCTAGCACCCTGAACCCTTCACTGGTCTTGCTGGCGTTTTTCACTTGATGTAAACAGAATCCTTGGAGCCATGTCGAACAGTCTAGGGGATCACTAGATGCTGGCCATAAGCCTAGCCTTCCACTTTGTGGGAGCAACACTATTTTTTCATTAGTTGTCTGTAAGGAGGTATCATTTTGGCTGACTACTAAGAGGAAATGTGGGGATAGACATCCCTGAAGCCCACAGGCCACTTCTTTCTAGTTCTAGGATGTCCTGTTTGTTAAGCAGACCACTAAGGGCAGGAGACAGGAAGTAGGTTTTGAACCTTTTTCTACCCTAGCAGCTCGGACCTCACTTGCTCCCCTCCCAGTCTCTCTGCTTATGCCTCTCCCTGTGTGTCACTCTCACTCCTGTAGTGTGGCCATGGCTGGGCCCTCAAAGCCCAGACCATATACTTTCATTCAGAAGTGTCAATTTCACTGGTGTAGGACCTGGACCACAGATCTTACCTCATCTCTCATCCCCAGGAAGCTTCCTTGGGTTCTCTCAAGCCCAGTCACAGAAGCCTGCCCTCTTTCCTCTCCTCTGGCCTCCTCAGAGAAATATGTCTGGCCACTCATGGAGGAAGTTCTACCCCTGCCTAGCTATCACTAGCTTGGATGGGACACTGGCCTGGGAACCAGGCTGGACTCTGCACCAGCCCCAGGATACTTGCAGTGACCCATAGGGCTTAGAAATTTCAGCCATACATTTAAGAGCTGGAGGATCAGTGTCAAGGCCCCCTAGACCCAAGTCTGGGCCTTGGTAGGGCAGAGTGGGCCAGGGTGGTCTAATCTGCAGATAGTCCCAGCTGGCCACCATCATTCTAAGATGTCAGGCAGAAATCATGCATGGAGAGGAGGGTCTTATCTATGATATCCTAATGGCCATTTGAGGACCTTGGCATGTCAGAAGGGACATTTCCAAACAAGCCATACAGGCTGTCTGTTGCTCCCCACTGGGGACGTGGGGAGGAGAGAGAGGCCCCAGAGAGTAAGGGGATGAGGAGCTGACCTCACAAGGCTGAAGCCCAGCCTGTGTAGCCCTACTCCACTAGGTCAAGCCACAGTCCAGAACAGCTGCCAACAAAGCACCGGCTGGGCTGCTTAAATGACAGTCATTTACCTATCTAAGCTGGAAGTTCAAGCTGGTGCCAGCATAGTGGGGCTTTGCTAGGAGCTTTTCTCACCATGTCTTCTCAGGGTAGCCAGTTTTCTCTGATGTCTCTATATGAGAGGGCTCACTTGATTATAAGGTGCCACCCACATGAGTTTTAACCCTGATTGTCCCCTCAAACCTCACTCAACACCATCACATTGGCGGTTAGGGCTTCTAAATCCCAACTTGGGAGGGACACAGGCCAGTCCACAGCACATGCTAAGTGTGAAAGGCCCCAAAGCAGGGAAGGTGCCTGGCATTCAGCCCACTCTTATCTTCCGAGCCCTAATGTAAATGAGGTATGG